TTTGGTTGCTTACAACAAGAATATCGGTCATAGGGCGAATTCGTTGAAGTTTTTCTAATAAAATATACATGCTATTCCATCTGGTATCTACATCAGCTTGAGACATTAAAAATGGTTAATTTTTTATTTCAAATATTTGTTTTAATTCTCTGATTAGCGATGGAGAGTTTCAAAGCCTAATAGAAAACTCCCGCACTTTAGAAATTTCTTTACTGACTGACTTAATTCCTTCTTTAATAATGATATTTAGAATATGTGTGCTACAGCGAAAATGCTGCACATTAATATTACTAAATTCATTATGCATTCTTTCTTTTAGAACACGACTCATAGCAATCATATTGGAAGCGTTGTCTGTCATTACTCCTAAGAGCTTATGGCCTATATTCATTTTTGTTAAAAGTTCAATTATCGCATCAGTTTGGTTAACTGCAGTGTGTGCTTGATTGAAAGGAATAATGTCTAATAAAATGCGATGTATTTTCCACTCAGGATCTACCCAATGAGCAGTTACACCAAGGTAGGGTTGTTGTGTGCAGGACGTCCAGCCGTCTATAGTAATTAAAATTTTTGATGGAACGTTGTTAAAAAAAGTGATAATTTTATTTTTACTATTAATATACTCTTGACTGACCCAAGTTGAGATTGTTTGGTGACATAGGGTTTTGTATCTTGGATCAAGTTCGTGTAAAAATTAATAAATTCAGTATTTTCGGCCAACAAAAATGACTGTTGGTCAATAACTACCCATTTTAAAAGTTTATTATTTATTGTATCTGTTTTATATTTGTTATTTGGGCTATAAGGGTCAAGTCGTCGAAGTTTACGCTGTTTAATTTTAATAAACTCTGCAGAATGGAAGTTTTGAAAATGCCGATTAATAGTCGATATTGCAGTCAGGTTGCCAAACATTTGTTTACATAATTTATATCTTTTACCTCCATCAGGAGTTGATAAAAAGTAATCTCTAATGGGTGCTCGATTATTTGTAAAGGAGGTGGAAACCTTACTTGGTGTTTGATTAGTATTATCTGATAAGGGTGCGATTTCATCACTTGTAGTTTCTTCACTAGAGGTTTCTGATTCTTTGTCTATGGATTCGATATAATTTGTTATCATGGATTCTGATTTGTTTGTTTTCATTTTTTATTTTATTTTTGTTTTTATTTTTTTTATTATTTTTTTTTTGAGGGATCTTTAAATAACTTTTGCGACGAGATCATATACTGTCTTTGTTTTATCAAATGGGATTACTATAAATATAGGTGATATTTCACAATCAATAAAATTATTAATGCCTTTCAATATCGATACTGACTTTGTTTTATTAAACGGGAATAATTTGAAACTTTTTTATCATTTTATTGAAGTAATTTTCTTTTATTTCAAGACAAAGGTGGTCAACAATTATAAACCATAGTTTATCATATTGAATTAACTTATATATAAGTTTAAATTCGCCTTTATTATATATTTAATGCCAGAGATGTTTAATTTTTTAAGGAGTATGTATCACCTTTAGCATAGGAAACAGCACTTTTATTATTTCTAAAAAAGTTGGTTAATAAGTGTAAGTGAACTGCTTTTGTTATTAAATACTCTATAGTTAATTAATGTTACTAAGTTTACTTACCTATGAACATATATTCAATTCCTGAGATAGTTAACTTCTTGACTAAGGCTGTGAATCGATTCTAAAAATCAGAATTGATAGTTGAAAATATAATTAATAGACAAAGAAATTTTCTTCAATCATCATCACAAAAATCAAGGGGTCACATCTTTTTGCAAAGTGCAATAATTGTTTGTAGAAATAACTAGAATAATTATACAGAAATAAGAATCGATTCTAATTCGATCAACAATTAAAACGATTATTATAGAATCGATTTACATCTCTATTCTTGACACAACAAATGGGTGAGTACACAGCAAAACCATGCTTAGAGTATATATATTTCATATACTCTAAGCATAGTTTTGCTGTGTACTCACCCAAATAGTTTCTAATTCTTTAAATCCATTAAACACAACAAATAGCTTCTCTGTCACTA